ATCGATTTTCCTCCTGCTTTAGATTGAGTGAACTTCATCATGTGGTATCGAATGCCGTCGAGAAGATCCTTCTTCGTTGTCATAATGGGGATGTCGCTGTACTCAGGTGGCGGTGGCTCTGACCAGCCACCATTTTGACGTCGAATCTCTTCAATGTTTGGCTTTGTTCCATTTGGCCTACCAGAAGCAGATTGCGCTGTCGGCCTGGGTGGTGGTCTTCGAGAAACAAGGGGGTTTGCCTTGGGATTCTTACGCAATGGCCGAAGGGGGTTGGGCTTTTGTTTCTTCGGGGCGCCATTTGGATATCCAGGCGCGTTAGCAGGCGGATTGCCTGGGGGAGGCGGCGCGCTCATGTTGATGAAGAGGTCGCGCAATCGCGAAAGAAATCCCGGGAATGCTCTGACGACAACAGGTCACAGCCTGTAGCCTAGCTCTGCGCAAAGCCCGAGGTAAACTGAATCAGCGCGCGTATCTGGAGGAGTTGGTGAATTAAAGCGATGGGAGTTTGATGCTGTTTGTTTTATCAATACAGGAAGAGACTGGCTTTGCCAGGCGAGGACGCAAAGGAGCTTTTTATGCCCGGACAAAGTTGATGTTAAATGCAGGGACAAAGGTCCTGAGCAAGATAGTGCGCCTACCTACCTTATGACGATGACAAAGGCTCTGAAGTACCTAAGAAGCCACATGTGGCTGTGCGCTCCGCAATTTGCTGCCAGTTGCCAGTGTTCCTGAGCCTTGCGACCTTTATTAAACTACTATCGAGTTTTACAATTAAACCTACCCAAACAAAGTATGCAACAAAACATATTGTTAAACGAATGCCCTGACCCTGAAGCGAAAGGGTCATACGTGGAGCTTTCCTATAAGATTACTGTTTCTTGATTGCGTGGGAATAGCGTGAGGACAAAGAAAATATGTACAATTCATTCCTACTTTAATCTGCCACAGAATCTTATTGATACACAGTGTCGGCAAGCGAATACTATTGTTTGTAATAACTTCCCGGGCTATCAGAAGTACCTATTTTACAAACGAACCTTAGTAGTTTGCACAGTAAATAATACTAAACACGACACTGTAGTGCATAGGTACCTATGGCAAAAATAGTGAACTCATACCTGCATTTTGTGGAGATCACCAGCTCCAACCACACCCAGCACATTTCAACATCACACCTGTACGACTTCATTGCCGCAGCCAAGGCCCCCAAACGAACAATTATGCACCAAATCCATTGTTCTCTCTAGTCTCCCACTTCTTCCGTTCTTTGTTCATCTTTCACTTCGTGTTGAGGACGAGGCCAAAACCTCTACACTTCTTTGCCTGCCAGGACCCCTCCCTTCACCAGTTGAAAGAAAGCGCAGAGCTGAATTGAGGTTGTTGCATCCATTAAGTCTACCGCGCGTTAGGTTTTTTGCGCCTTATCACGCAAGACAGTATTATTTACAGACGCGATCGTTGGGATAGTGTTCGCTGAGCTGAATGCAACTATTCACACCCTGGTCGACATTCTTACAACAGAGTCCTATCGCCAGGAGCCTAACGGCAAGGCCAACTCCATTACTCCATCGCATAGTATCCTTCTCGAGTCGCAGATGGTTCCTCATCTGCGTGAGCCTCAAGTGGAGGCCCCTGGTGACTCCCAAGCTGGTCTTGAAAATCACTTGCGCAATCTGATCATCTCCAATGGTCCACCAGTACACGATTCTGTGCCCAGGGCTTCTCTGCAATCTGCTCCTATATCTGACAGCGACTCAATCAACAGGAATAACGCTGTTGAAACGTCTGACGGTGCCTCCCATCAGTCCAGACCCGTACGGAAGCGGCTAAACCAGGCACAAAGACGCCAAATGAGCTCTCAACTATCCATATCTATTGATCCGCGGGCCCAGCAACCTCCCCCAGATAGAACTTACCAAAGTCCGATATCTCAATACTCCCGCCCCTCTCAGCCTTATCAACGCCAAATGCATACTGACTCTCAGCCATGGGGAGCTCCCAACGAAAATCGTCAAAGTGGCTCGTTTTCTCATCGCCACTGGAATAGCACTCAGCAGTCTAAGTATCGAGGCTATGATAATGCTCCTCCCTCCTCCCGTGGCCGCCCTAACTCTATGCCTATCCAATCGAATCGGGGTTCTGGTTACTTGTACAACCCCAGACGCGCAGTTCAGTTTCATCCCGAGGAAATTGCAGCTCAGGATGCTCTGCTTGACCAACTTTGTTTTCAAGTCATTTCCAATTCCGAAATCGAAAGATCGGAAATAGCAGAGAAGGAGGAATTCCGTTGCAGGATTGAAACCATTAGTCGAGAGGTCATCGCCAACTATGAGAAGGAGGAAAGGCCAGAAACAGACTTTCAACCCCTCACAGTTCAGCTGAAATGCTTTGGTAGTTTGTCTTCAGGCTTCGCAACCAAGGCTTCAGACATGGATCTTGGCCTTCTTTCACCAATGTCTGCCTCCCAGCCTGATGCTCCCGGATCTCCTATACCGCGTCTCCTGGAGAAGGCTTTCTTGGAAGCTGGTCTAGGGGCGAGGCTTCTGACCCGAACTAGAGTCCCTATCATCAAGCTATGCCAGTCCCCGCCGGAAAAGCTTCGGCAAGGACTCCTTGAGGAGAGATTTCGATGGGAGAATGGCCTTGATGAGGCCCATGAAGCTCAGGAAGATGATGAAAACGATACGCAAGCAGCAAACAGTGAGCACGACAAGCAGCAAGACCGCCTTGCAGGTATTCAAAACAGTTCCACAACCGTCGTTGAGCCCGTATCACTGGATCCCATCCAAGACGGCACGAAAGCGATTGAACTTAAGCAAAGTCTCAAAAGCTCTCTCTCCTCGTACTATGGCTTAGCCAAGCGAGTTCTTCGTAGGGCTGGTGGCCGTGATGCTACCATCTCTAATTATCGCGTACTCTCCGATGAAGATTGGACTATATTGAACAGAGTGAGCGAGGCCTTCATTGGTGGTCTTGCGGACACTCGTCTTCGTGATCGCCTGTCCACGTACCCGTCTCTCTCCTTTGCACAAGATGCACAGAGTCCCACCAAACGATCTTTACTTGGGGTATACACCCAGATTGAAGGCGAGCATATTCGGCAGCGCCGGGAGGAGAGTGGTGTCGAAGAGCGTAACCCCGCTTCTCAATCGTTGACTGGGCAAGCCTTGAAGGCATGGGAGGACGCTCAATACAGAGAAAACTTTGGTACCGATCCCATCTTTTTCACCAAAGAACTTCAATTGGCCCTTGACAAGCTTAAAAGGGCCCCTTCCGTGCAATTCGTGGTTTTGGAACAGGGTCAACATGAGGCGCCTGCGTCATACTATACGAGGGCACTCTACATTTTTAACGGACTGAAGCCAGCTAATGAACAAGCCATCGCAAAGTGGACGAGTATGCTTGTTACTCAATATGTCAGCGGTATCCATCCGGAGGAGATTCGAAAAATGTTACAGACTTGCATAGCCACATGTTCTGAGTCCCTGTCGCTCAGAGGAGTCGGGCTCTTACACAAATGCATCCATCTAGCGTGGGAATTCGAACGAGCATTAGATAAGGATTCGTACGATGTGTCCGTCGTGCAGGATGTTAAAGACTATATCGCGCTACTACGGTCACCTTTACAACAAAATGATCCCCCGAGGCTTGGCGACGGGTTCTTCATTCCCCTCACGCCGACAACGGTAGACCTTGTGGCGAGGATCCGACAACTTCCAGACCCTCACAAGATGGCTCCGAACCAGCCACGCGATCGATACAGAGATCATTTAGAGTTTCCTAAGACAGGCGCAGGTGTGCAATGTGACATCAACTTCTCCGCCCATTTGGCTCTTCATAATACGGCTCTCCTACGATGTTACTCTCACACCGACCCGCGCGTCCGGCCCATTGTCTTGTTTGTTAAGCATTGGGCGAAGACTCGTGGGATCAACTCGGGATATCGTGGGACCCTTAGCAGCTATGGCTACGTTTTGATGGTCCTTCATTATCTAGTCAACGTCGCTGAGCCCTTTGTTAGCCCAAATCTCCAGCAGCTCGCTCCTCCACCACCACCAGGGCTCTCGCCTGTCGAATTCGAGGATATGGCTATATGCCGTGGCCACAACGTTCAGTTTTGGCGTAACGAAGAGGAAATCCTGGAGCTGGCACGTGCAAACCAGCTAAATGGCAACACAGATACCATTGGCCATCTCCTGCGTGGCTTCTTCGAGTATTATGCCCATAGTAGTATGCTCAGCACTTCTACGGGCAGAGGATTTGACTGGGGAAGAGATGTGCTCAGTTTGCGGACGCCTGGTGGTTTGCAGACAAAGCAAGACAAGGGTTGGACTGGCGCCAAAACAGTCATCGAGGCTCAAAACATTGGGCCTCATCCGCCGCCTCAGCCCGACCAAGCGTCTTCCACGGCAGTACATCCTAAGGAGATTGATGTAAAGGATACAGGAGCACAGCCCAAGCAGGGCACGCAAGGTAGCGTCACAGGCAAAAATGGAGAATTCAAGGAAGTCCGTCACCGCTATCTCTTTGCTATCGAGGACCCATTCGAGCTGGATCACAATGTTGCTCGAACTGTTACACATAACGGTATTGTGTCGATCCGCGATGAGTTCCGTCGGGCGTGGAAGATCATCAAGTCGGCTGGCAATGGCAGCCCTCAGGAAAGCTTACTCCGGGATGTGACAGATGTAGAGGAAGAAGTCAGTCCTTTATCTCGCCTCCTGGATGAGATTCATGGAGCGGGCCGATCCCGGAACACTTGATTGTATAATTATGATGTTGAGACGATGTACGAAGTTACGGACGGGTCATGGCCAGGATCGGTGCTGGCGCAACGAGATGTAATCGTGTGGCTCACTATTTGAGTCTTTGATAATGGCTAGGCTTGGTGAAATTTATCGTCGGTTCAATATTCATTCACCATGTAACAAATTACACAATAGCAGTGAGCTTCTTCTCATCTTGGTATCAGTATGCATTGTGATTTGTGAAGCTTAACTTCATTGAGACAGCACATCAAAGAAGTTTCTGGACGATGACTTGGCAGAGTTGTTCTGCCTTTTGGGGGCATCATCTTTACCCACCTTCCGTTTTTTCTTATCTTTGGCAGTTCTTTTTGACACTGCGTCGAGGCTGGCATTTGGCAATGGGACAAGCCTAGAAATTGTCTTGTAGATCTGGCCCTCATTGCCTTCGTGCAGAAACACAATTGTTCTCTCCACATCAGGGAACTCCGCCAGAGGTGGTAATGACGACAGCATGTCATTCAGCTCTGGTAGGGTTGTCTGAAGCTGTCCAAGTGAGATGATTTGCTTCAAGAGTCGAAACGAGTAAAGAGCGGCTTGAAGATGAGCAACAAAGTGAAGAGTATCCCAAGTAATTTTCCTAGAAGTTGGAGCTTGTAAACTCTCTTCCAAAATCTGCAGTGAATGTGAACGCTTGCCAACTTCATGGCTATACCGTATATCAAGAGTCAGGCACAGGATGTACCACGCCCGAGTTATGTCGACTTGTGATCCTGCTCTGATCATGGCCATTAGTCTGGCCAACTCTTGGGACCAAGCTTTCGCTTCTTTCTGGGGCAGCAAAGCAACCTGTCGCCCTTTTTGTGCCAGAGTGTTGACCCTCCGGTACTCCTGAACAGGTGTTAAAGCACCAGGAATGATCCATCTGGCTGCTGTGTAAGCCAATTGTCGAATTGCCGTGCTCTGTTCCCAGGCACTTCCCCGCGAAGGACTCTCTAGCAGAATAGGAAGAAACATCTTGGGATCGCTTGTAGTGTGCATGTGGCCACTCTGGGGTCCCAGTTGCAGTATCATCTCCGATATTCTGGGGTCCAGTGAGCCGATTTCTATTACTTTTCCGTATATTGATGTGGGGATCGGTGCAACTACATGGTCTAGATACTCGTGACAGAACTCGGTGTAATCCGTTTTGGCGGTGATTGGTTGTGCACACTCCTGCAAGAGTTGTGGAAGTGTCGAATGGGCGGACCGTTTTCGTTCGTAAGCAAATCGGCACATCTCAGCAGAAGAGGCAAGCTTGAGTTTCTCGCAGATGTGGGAGGGACTAAAGCTTGCGCATGCGAGATTGGAGTGATCATCAAGATAAATGTCGCGAAAAAAGACGACCCTTCCCTTGCCAAGATCATGGACTAGAAGATCAGAGTCGGAGGTGAGAACCGTCCCGCCCGATTGCGACAGATGCTGTGCGCAGTATGCATCTGCCTCGCCCGGGACAAGAAAGACTATCTTGGTGTAGCGCGGCGAAGATCTCAAGGCATCAATGATAGCAGGGACATGAAAACTGGGTGGCAATGCCGATTTTCCTGGTGGCTTAACTGTAGAGAAGAGGACTGGAGCAACTTCATTGGCGGCCGAGAAGTAGGACGGGAAGAAACCATTGGTTTCAGATGAGTGTGAGGCCTTCAATTGATTGAGACTTTTGAGCATGCGCTCCATGCGAACGGGTTCTTTTCCTTTTGGGAGATATCCGTCAAAATATATGGCGTCGCTATCATGGTCAGTCTCCTCCAAACTACAACACGAGACACCGAACTTACACGCCTACACCACGCCGAGTGAGTTCATCCAACCATGACACAGCGGTCTCGCCGAGAAGTTTGTATGACGGCTGAGGAATACCATGTCTGTTGCAGATGTACAAAATATGATAAGCTAATGCTGGCCCATCGACGACTACGTGTTCATCGTTAAGGCGTCCATGAACAACGTAGGGCTCTAGGGTAGATATGAGACGAGGAATCCCCATGTTGTGTGTGGGTTGCGGGAGGGGAAGGTTAGGTAGTGAAGCTCTATCCCATTTCCATTCAGAAAGAAAGCCCAAGTTGTTATTGTTCGAGATTATAAATAGCTCTTTCCGGGCCCTCAATGTCGTTGTTACTCAGAAATCAGTTGGAGGGGTTACAGCTACGTTACTCAGCTAATCGAGCAAGAATTTCAAGGGCCTTGACTGCGAATTAACGAGGCTGTGACGCAGTTCCCGGGATGCCCCGCTTAGTTAATGACTGCGGGTAATAATACAGTGCTAAACACTGTAGGTCTTCCGGCTTCGGGATGCCTGGTTTTGTGCCAAAAATCGGCTTCTGACCCCACTATAAGAGAATTTACAGTAAGAGTCAGCTTTCCGACACACAGTGCAACGAGCAGGGGTGATGAAGAAAAAAAAAAGCTCCAGCCTGAACGCGGCTTTCCTTCAATCTCAATTTTTCTTTCTTCCTCCATTGTCTTCCAAGCTTCACCCTTCCACATCGGTCGATGGGCTGGTCAAGATGCGCAATACACTTATCTTCGCAGGCAATTCCTGCCCCGTCCTCACAGGTCAAATCTGCGAGAACCTGGGCATGCATCCTGCCAGCGCTGAGCTTACCCAGTTCTCCAATGTGAGCTTCCCTTGCCCTCGTGCTCGTAGCCATGGTCATTCAACGTGACCCTTCTTTGGCCAACCATCACGATCACTCCTCTGCAGGCCCATGTTTGGCAGTCAAACAAGCTGCGTGCTTTGAGCTAACCAGTGCCCAAGGGTGAAACGAGCGTCAGAATTCTGACAAGTGTCCGAGAGAAGGACGTCTTCGTTGTCCAATCAGGCAGCCCCAGCATCAATGACTCCATCATGGAGCTTCTCATCATGATCTCGGCCTGCAAAGGCGGTTCTGCTAACAAAGTCACTGGTTCGTGGTTCTCGTCCCCTGCTTGAGACCTCAATCGGCTTACTTGTTGCGTCCAGCCGTCCTTCCTTATTTCCCCTACAGCCGACAGTCAAAGAAGAAGTCGCATAGAGGTGCGATTACTGCTCGCATGCTTGCCAACTTGTTAGGTGTTGCTGGCGTTAAGCACGTTATCACTGTCGACCTTCATGCCTCGCAGATGCAGGGCTTCTTCAAGTGTCCCGTTGATAACCTGCACGCAGAGCCTATCCTTGCGAAGTGGATCCGCCACAACGTGTCTAACTGGCGCGAAGCGGTCGTGGTCTCCAAGAACGCGGGAGGAACCAAGCGGGTGACATCGCTTGCGGATGCTCTCAAGCTCAATTTCGGGATTGTTACTACAGACAGGAAGCGTGTGAGTAACATGACAGCGAGCATGATCATGAGGCACTTCGATCATAATGTAGAGCGTCAACCCACCCCGTTGGAGTCTAACCGACCCATTCCCTACCGTGGACCCCCGGCTTCCGAGCGTGCTGTCGAGTCCGAGGCTACCCCTAAGAGGCAGACAACCCCCCCTCGCTCCTCGCGAATCGTGACGAACCCACAGGGCTCTCCTACACGGGTCAACAGTTCTGCCCGTTCAGTGACTCCCAACGCTGCTGAGGCCGCGGATCCCAACACTACCCCCCCTGCTGGATCACCCGATGGTTCGGCCGATGGTGAGGCGGATTATGATGACCACAAAGCGTCTGAAGTTACACAGGGTCGTTTGGTTCAAGGTCGTATCGTCGAGGATGATTATCCGTCTCCTGATCGATCTGTTGTTGACGGTAGCGTGGAAGATGATCCCATGACAATGTCTCATGCTTCATCATTCTTCGTCCCTGAGCCTCAATCTCTCGGAGGATCTGGCGACGCTGCGGCGAGTTCCGACGAAGAGGACAACGCATTCGAGGATCCAGGCGCCGAACATCTTATCACTCTAGTTGGAAACGTCAAGAACCGGACCGTTTTCATCGTGGATGACATGATTGACAAGGCTGGCTCTTGGATCGCTGCAGCTGAGACGGTGGTCAAGAAAGGCGGAGCAAAGAAGGTCTATTGCATGGCCACTCATGGTGTTTTTGGTGGCGACAGCCTGGAGCAACTACAAGCATGCGAGTGCATCGACCAGATTGTTGTGACCAACAGCTTTCCAATTGATAAGGACAGGGCACGCAACATCAGCAAGCTCGTGGTTCTTGACCTCTCGTTCCTACTGGCGGAGGCCATTCGACGTAACCACTATGGCGAGGCTCTTTCGCCTCTCTTCCAACATTATGGTGATTAGATAGGACTGCATCGCAATGCTTCCAATCTCACACAGTCACCTGTTGCTACGCCATCGCGCCTAGTCTGCCTTGGCAGCTAAGTGCTTATCGACACTCCTATTCGTGTTTTGATGATTACTATTCATTTTTTAGCGAGGCGTCTGGGGAAAGGTCATATTGGTAACCTAATGCTGGACCAATGAATCCGAGGATGAAAATTCCGACAAAAAAGCAGAGTAGGTGATGAATTACGATTTCAGTTTCTGGTCTTTTGGTTTAGGTTCGTGATGTGATATGATGTAGCGCTCGCCTTTTGTCGAGGCTCAGTTAAATGTAACCCAGCGGTGCTGTCACTTGTTGACGGCAAGGGCCTGATTCACCCCAGAATGGGTCCTTAACGGAACGTTGGTAGAACAATCTCTCGGTCTTAGAAGGCCTGCAACTTAGAACCGTCATGGATTTGTGTCTCTTCGGGGACAAATGAGTTGTGGGCAAGAGAAATTTCCGAACATTTTGTGAACAGGATGTCCTTTGTAGCAGTTTGTCTCAACATTTGCTGTTCAAGTCACTATATCAACCTATCTATAGCTAATACTTTTGTTTAATACAGCTCATACATAGTAATTGTATCATCTGTTCGCTTGAAACTTTGTTATGCGGGCTGTTTATCATGTTTACTTTCGACTAAGTCTTTCGGTGCATAATACCAGCACCAGCCTGTGGCCCAGAAGATTAGCCAGAGCTATTGACTCTCGAGTTTTGAGTCAGTCTTACCTGATGACTGGGGAATACCAGTGTATCAGCAACAACGACGTTCTCTCGGCGAGTTGCGGTAAACACGATGATCTCAGCAATGTCGTCGGGGGTGAGAGGTTCGCATCCGCTGCTCGCAAGTCAGTACTGTGTATTTTGACCAGTCCAAGACAACCTACGCATAGACAGCATCGGCCTTTTCCTTGTCGCCATAGAACCGCACCACAGAGAACTCCTATTAAACCGTGAGCATCTCGTCACGTTGGCTCACACATAGATTACGCTTACAGTTTCGACCTGACCTGGATCAATCTCAATAACACGGACACGACTGGCAATGAGCTCCTTTCGCAAGCTGTCAGTGAAGCTGCGAACAGCGGCCTTTGTAGCGCAGTAGATGCCGCCGCCAGGGTAAGGCTCTCGGCCAGCAATGGAGCCGACGTTGATGATATCACCGTGACCACCGTCTGGTCGGGCAAGGAAGATGGGGAGGATAGCCTGGGTCATGTTGATGAGACCTGTGACATTTGTCTGGAACATAACATTAATGTCCTCCTCAGCAATTTCAGGGGCACGAGCAACACCCTTGACAAGGCCTCTATTGTGTTGTTAGCACCGTTGCAACGAATTTGTCCACACATGGACATGAACTTACGCATTGTTGACAAGCACGTCAATGTTCCTCCACTCCTCGGGCAAGTTGCCGACAATACCCTTCACCTCAGCAGGGTTGCTCACATCGAGCTTGAACGGCAGAACCTTGACACCATCGCCGAACTCCTTCTTGATATCTTCAGCAAGTTCCACGAGGGAATCAACACGGCGTGCAGTGAGGATGAGACGAAGATCATTCTTGGGCGCAGTCCGAGCGAATTCCAGAGCCGTGGAGCGGCCGATGCCGGAGGATGCACCAGTGACAAGAATCGTCTTGCCAGTGAGACGTTTGGCAGCAGCAGAAGCCATTGTACGACGAGTGAAAAGGGGACGAAAGAGGGGAGTGAAGGAGATTGAGATTGAGATTGAGTGTGAGGCTGAGGTTGACAAAGAGACGTTGAGGGTCTTGGATACGGTAGTGAGTAGGCGACGGGTATTCATTTGTTGACTAAGATGGTGGGGAAGATGGAGATGAGGATGGTGTGATTGGACTTGATAAGAGAGGTTGAAGATTGGGAGGAGTTAGAGTTGAAATACTGGGAAGGGTTCAGTTCGGGTATTATACCTAGGTAATGAAAGAATGATGTTATCTAGACGAACTAGGTCCATGTTGGTTACCTACTAACTAACGTAACGTAAAGCCCATGAGGATATCTATCTACCCAGGTACCAGTTAATATTACAAAGGCACTTTCTGATTAGATAAAAGGAAGGACCAAGCAGATCAAGAGAACATGACGATAAGAGTCGAATTTATTTAGGTGTTTCCAAGATTCAAAGCCTCCAAACTGTCATATTGAAGGAGCGGCCTTTTCTTACCCCGCGATTCGACATGACATGTGCTCCAGTGGGGTCGGGGTCTAAGGTGACGAGAACGCCCTATAAAGGGCGTCATTTTAGGCTCTCTACTCTGTGTCGACCTCAGCTTTGAGCTCAACTTCAAGGTCTTTCTGAACCGTACCCAGAGATAGGAATCTATCACGGCGCTGCCGGTCTAATAGACCTGGCTCCAATCTAACAAAACTGTTTTGTGTGTACGGATACAGCAGGGAAATACATCTTCATTGAAGATAACTTTGTACTTGTATAAAACGTTGCTGTTAGGAAGCGATACTCGCTGAACTCACTGTCTCTTTGGGTTACCTAAAGTGCAAAAACAGAGTGGGTTGCTAGGAAGTGAGGGAATGTTCTTTGCAATGCTGACAAGAGGTAATGTGGCTCTCACAAAGGACAAAGAGTTGGATTAGTACCTTGCCTTATGCTCTCAAGCACAAGACGAAGCAATTTAATACTACCTTGGTTCTAAGCTGCAAGTTGACGATTGGGATGAGATCAGTTGATTGGTTGCCATCCGATGTCATATCCAGTACCTACTTATCTACGGA